CCCAGTGTAACCCCGTGTCCCCTCCCTCCCCCACCGGGTGCACAAGCGTGTGTGTGGGGGGGGGCTCGTGCAACAGCTGCCGGGGCACGAGGGCCTCGTGTGTCTGTGCCCGGGGGGCTCTTGCACGATGGTGCCAGGGGCACAAGTGTGTGTGCATCGGTGCCAGGAGCTCTTGCACGTTGGTGCCAGGGGCACGAGGGTGTTACATATTGGTGCCAGGGGCACAAGTGTGTGTGTGTCAGTGCCAGGAGCTCTTGCACGTTGCCTCTGGGGGCACAAGGGCATTTCACATTGGTGCCAGGGTCTCTTGCACGTCAGTGCCAGGGACCTGAGGGTGTTGTGTATCGGTGCCAGGGGCACAAGTGTGTGTGCATCAGTGCCCAGAGCTCTTGCACGTTGCTTCTGGGGGCACAAGGGCGTTTCACGTTGGTGCCAGGGACCTGAGGGTGTTGCACGTCAGTGCCAGGGGCACAAGGGCATTTCACGTCGGTGCCAGGAGCTCTTACACATTAGTGCCAGGGACCTGAGGGTGTTGCACATCAGTGCCAGGGGCACAAGTGTGTGTGCATCAGTGCCAGGAGCTCTTGCACGTTGGTGCCAGGGACCTGAGAGTGTTGTGTTTTGGTGCCAAGGACCTGAGGGTGTTGCACGTCGGTGCCAGGAGCTCTTGCACGTTGCTTCTGGGGGCACAAGGGCATTTCATGTTGGTACCAGGAGCTCTTGCACGTTGGTGCCAGGGGCACAAGGGTGTTTCATGTTGGTGCCAGGGACCCGAGGGCATTGCATGTCGGTGCCAGGAGCTCTTGCACATCAGTGCCAGGGACCTGAGGGTGTTGCACGTCGGTGCCAGGGGCACAAGGGCATTTCATGTTGGTGCCAGGGACCTGAGGGCGTTGTGTATCGGTGCCAGGGGCACAAGTGTGTGTGCATCAGTGCCCAGAGCTCTTGCACGTTGCTTCTGGGGGCACAAGGGCATTTCATGTTGGTGCCAGGAGCTCTTGCACATTGGTGCCAGGGACCTGAGGGTGTTGCACATCGGTGCCAGGGACCCAAGGGTGTTGCACGGTGGTGCCAGGAGCTCTTGCACACTGCTGCCAATGGCATAAGGGTGTTTCACGTTGGTGTCAGGGACCTGAGGGCATTGTGCTTTGGTGCCAGGAGCTCTTGCACGTTGCTTCTGGGGGCACAAGGGCATTTCATGTTGGTGCCAGGGACCTGAGGGTGTTGCACGTCGGTGCCAGGGACCTGAGGGCATTGCACATTGGTGCCAGGAGCTCTTGCACATCAGTGCCAGGGACCTGAGGGCATTTCATGTTGGTGCCAGGGGCACAAGGGTGTTGCACATCGGTGCCAGGGACCCAAGGGTGTTGTGCATCGGTGCCAGGAGCTCTTGCACGTTGCTTCTGGGGGCACAAGGGTGTTTCACGTTGGTGCCAGGGACCTGAGGGTGTTGCACGTCGGTGCCAGGAGCTCTTGCACGTTGCTTCTGGGGGCACAAGGGTGTTGCACGTTGGTGCCAGGGACCCGAGGGTGTTGCACGTCGGTGCCAGGAGCTCTTGCACGTTGCTTCTGGGGGCACAAGGGCATTTCATGTTGGTACCAGGGTGGGGGGGGGGGGTTGCTTGTGTGCTGCCGTGTTCTGCCGTGTCCTCACGTGTCCTCGTGCCCGCAGGAGTGCAGCGGCCTGGGGGACATGCCCGGCTCCTTCGTGCCCACGGTGACGGCCATCACCACCAGCCAGGACCTGCAGTGGCTGGTGCAACCCACCCTCATCTCCTCGGTGGCCCAATCGGGGCCACCCATGGCCCCTGCACGTTGCTTCTGGGGGCACAAGGGTGTTGCACGTTGGTGCCAGGGACCCGAGGGTGTTGCACGTCGGTGCCAGGAGCTCTTGCACGTTGCTTCTGGGGGCACAAGGGCATTTCATGTTGGTACCAGGAGCTCTTGCACGTTGGTGCCAGGGGCACAAGGGTGTTTCATGTTGGTGCCAGGGACCCGAGGGCATTGCATGTCGGTGCCAGGAGCTCTTGCACATCAGTGCCAGGGACCTGAGGGCGTTGCACGTCGGTGCCAGGGGCACAAGGGCATTTCATGTTGGTGCCAGGGACCTGAGGGCGTTGTGTATCGGTGCCAGGGGCACAAGTGTGTGTGCATCAGTGCCCAGAGCTCTTGCACGTTGCTTCTGGGGGCACAAGGGCATTTCATGTTGGTGCCAGGGACCTGAGGG